CCCCCCCCCCCTCCCCTCTTCGGAGATTGCGGAGATTGTGTTCACCCCCCAGTAGTATCGAAAAAGAAAGCCGGCGAAACCTTCGAGAAAAGGCACGACAATCGATCGTGCAAGGTACGATACTTGTACAGAAGGATGAAAATGGTCATATTTGTCCTTCCCCTAGGCATGGCATATCTGGTTTGGCACACCAAACGCAAGGTTGATGAGCAGCTTATGGTTCATCCTTGTCAAACGTAGCCTGGGCCGGCGACAACCCGGCACACTGCTCCGTCCCGACATGGTAGAGATGCGAGGTCAATGGTCTAACGACTACGGCATGCGCTTACATGAGTACTGCCCGAGCTAACTGACCCCGCGTACGTGCTCGGCTGCACCGCTCTCCTCTTGCCATTCTCTTCGCCTGCTCTTATCAGGGATGCGCGAGAGCCGTACCTGGGGCTGCTGTGGGAGGCGTCTACCTCGGAGGATGCGTTGCCTCACCCGCTGCTCATGGGACCGGACCACCTGGATCTGCTTCAGGTGGGGGCGGACACAAGCGCGCAGGTCGGCGTGTCGCTGATTCACTCTCACAGGAAGCTGGCTACGCCGCCATGTTTGCCCACGGTGGATGGGAACGTTGACGTTGCTTGGTGCGGAGAAACCGGCTCACAGCGGGCTTGATGCCGGAGAAGTGGAGCACGGTTGCTGGTGGTTGTAGAGAGCAACCAAGGACTGTAGAACATTTGCTTTTGTGTGAGGGTTGAAAACAAGCAAATGACTATCGATGCGCTTGCTTTGCGCCAAGAGCTAGGGCTAGGGCTAGGGCTAGGGAAGCAATACTACTCGCGCCAGCGAGCTCGCCTGCTGTGTCTGTCGCCTTCGAACGGGCGGTGGTTCTTCCCTCCCTCTCTTCAGGGCTGGTCGTCCGTGTACGGACCTGTCGCTGCTACTGCTGCTGCTGCTGCTGCTGCTGCTGCTGCTGCGACTCACAGAGAGCTCGAACGGCCCAATTCCTAGGAAATAAACCCCGACGACTGATCCCGCACCCAGAAGTCAGAGAATCGTGTTTCAGGAACCCTCTCGATGATAAGGAGGAAGACGATTCCAATAGCGCTATTCTATGCCTACGCATGCTGCTGAGGTGGAGGCAATTTTTGTGTTGAAAGCTTGACCCCAAGCTGTAGCAGTTTAGTCATTCCTTGCTGTCAGCCAGGGGGGATCGTCCATTCGTGTGTCTTCCGTGAAGGTTGTCACCTGTACTGTAGAGCTATGGTAGCCACTAGAGGTCGTGTCTCTCTCGCTGCAAGACGTCTTTGCACGCCACGTACATGCAGGACAACATCACACTTGTTTGTCGGTTGCCCGGGTGCGAAGTTGACGCCATTTGCCCTTGTCTGGGGAATCTCCCCTAACGTTGCCTCGTTGTTTGCTGGCCGTTTTCGTTTTTTTATTGTTTACGTGAAGGCTAGCCCCTTGCGCGATTCCATCACCGCCGCCTCCAAGATATACAGCACTCTGCATCGAAGCCTCTTCGGCCTGGAAGGGGGTGACGCCGACTCCTCGTCTCGAGGGGGGGTGCATCACGGTGAGTTTCAGAGAGACAGCAGCGGCCACAGGTGTCCTCTACACTCACACGCTTGATTGTGAAAATTGGCCCTGGGTTTAGTTTGGCGTTAAGGCCTTTCTTCCTTCCTTCCTTCCTTCCTTGTGCTTGCTCTCTTCTTTCCTTCACCCCTTGCCGGAAATGAAGCCCAGCCATACTGTCACGCCCGCCCTTTCATCTCGGAGGAAATGTATATATGCACCTGAACTCTGGCACCCTACAGACTTTCCGCTTCCGCTAGGCGCCATAGGGAAGGCCGGTAATAACCTGACGTGGCAACATTGCCCCGGCACCCCCGTTATCCCCGATTTTCCCTTCCTTCCCCCCCTGCTTGGCGCCTGGTCCGCCTCTTGACCCCCCTCGCAAAACAAAAACACATCTCCAACCTCCTACTACCGAAACATCTGCCACCGCATGGTCCCCGTCGCATCAGCAGGAATACAAGTATCTCCGTCAGCGTCAACGACGAGGGATTTCCTGTGGGCTCTGGGCGTCATCCTATCGAGGGGCGTCTCCGAGGAGGGCGCGGGTGGGGTAGGCCTGGTGCCCTACCTGGACTTTGCTAACCACGGCGACGGAGGGAAAGGAGGAGGCGTTGCGTTGGGGGACGGCGGCGCCTCCTGCGAGAGAGGTTTCGACGCGGCAACCGGGAGGCATGTTCTTCGGGCCCTGCGGGACATTGCGCCGGGTGAGCGGATTCCAATTCTTGCGTGCTGTGCATGCGCCCCTGCAGCGCACCCACCCCCCCACGTGAGGAGGCACATTAACGGCCGTACGCGTTGGTATCCATTGACTCACACTCGAACGGGCATGGTTGCCATCCTCCACAGGTCTCAGCGGAGACTGAACAAGAGTTCGAGCTTTCGGATTTTTCCCTCGCCTCGCGCAGGGCTCATGTACCCATTCGTGCGTGTTGCCGCAGCCTCCGCCGACGTTGAGTTGATTCTTCTCCCCCGCACCTTGCTTGTCCTTGTGAGCCAAGGCCGCATGCAAGGGATGCGCTGGGCGTTGATTGTCCATAGCTAGGTCGGCAGGCGGGAGGTTGCTGAGTTCCTCGTGCGCGCCGTGCTCTAGGGGTGTGTTGCAAACGCAGAACCCCTGTGTCGGATTTAGCCCGATCAATCCCCGTCACAGCCTGACTTCCCCCCCCCCGCGCGAAGTCTGCCTTAGAATTTTTCCTCGCGTTGGTGCGGATGCCGATCACCGCCGTATGGTATTGTGTTTTGCCTCGCAGGAGAGGAGCTGTTGATCGACTACGGGTCGGCCGCGAAAGGAGCATACCGGTTCGCCAGGACCTACGGTTTCGTCAACTTCCGCCAAACCACTGGCGGCGGCGGCGGCAGCAGCAGCAGCAGCAGCAGCAGCAACAGCAACAGCAACAGCAGCGCCGGCAGCAATGCCGGCGACAATGGCGAGCCCTCCAACGACAACGGCGGCGGCGGCAGTGACGACAACGATGACGGTGGGAACAGGGGGCGACGGCTAATTGGTGGTATCCCGTCCGGCTCCGATTCTCTCCGCGTGCACGTGGGCTTATCGTCACCCGCCGGACAAGAACAGAAGGAACAGCAGCAGCAGCTAGTCGTGCCAGTGAGGCTCGCGGACGTAGCAGCAGCGGCAGCAGCGACGTTCGAGGAGCAAGTCCTCGAGGAACCGAACCGGCGTTTGTTGAGCCCAGAAACTGACCAAGAAGGAGAGGCTGCCGACGTTTTTTCCGGTGCTGTGGCGGCAACCGCGAAGTTCGCGGCGGGAGCAAGAGCGGCGCAACCAGGCACACGAGTGGCGGTTGCCGCCGCCGAGGTTGAGGCTCTCGAGGAGCGGTTGCGCCGCTACCCCACCACCTGGCAGGAGGACTTGGAATTGCTCGGGCTCGTCGCTTCCGACGGGACGGAAGAAGATAACTCGGCAGACGGAACGGGGGGAACCCGTCGCCCGCAGACAGAGAAGACGTCCGCAGCGGCAGGGGCAAAGGGAGCGGCGTTAAAAGCAGGAGCGGCAAGCGGGGCGGTGACGGCGGAGTGGGCGGAAACGTGCATCTCCTTGCGGGCGGCTGAGAAAATCGCTCTCCAGCGGGCACTGCGCACGGCAAGGAGGCCTCGGTGATCGGTTGGCTGGCCTCCCGTTTGTGCATGCATATATGTTGTTTGATGCCTCCCAGAGGAACGAAACGCCCGCCCCCAGCATGGCGCGTTCAAGCATCGTGTTTCTTGCCTCATCTTGCTGATAAAAAGAGTCAGAGCCATTGGGTGACGCCGAGAAAGAGAGGTGATTCACACCAGATATCATTTCTCATTCAAGAGTTTTCCTTTAAACTCGTGTACCAACCTCATATATTACCAAGCCCCGACTCTCTTTGGAATTACCGGGCCGCCGCAACACCAAACTATTGGTGCCTCAAAATAAACCAACCACGTTTGTGACCACCCACCGAGCTCTCTCTTCGCAATGCAAGAAGAGCAACGTAAAAAAGCCTCCTCGCCAGACAAGCGTAAAAACACGCGCCAAGAGAAAATGATACACATGCTACACGTCTCGAGCCTCCTCCCTTCCCATCCCGTTCCGTCACGCCAAACAATTACCATACCATACCATACCATACCACGTCCCGTCCCACCAGACAAGTACCACGAAGACAAGCACGAACAACGACGAAAGGGGTAAAAGGAGTACTATACACAACGAGCAGAGGAGCAGGAGCAACGAGGTGAAGATCTATGCATGCCGAGACTTATCCCCCATCAGTCCCTATCCCCTCACAATAACTCGAGAAGAAGAAACGAAAAGCCCCAAAAAACAACACAAGAAAATAATCTCGTGCCCAACTCACGGGTCCCCTCCTGGGAGCACACGAACCAACCACACCGCGATGCTGCCGTACGGACGCTTGCAGCTCTCCTCTAACGAATGATGCATGACCAACGCATGACCCAACACAGACAGCACAAACGTGCGTTTACCACCACATGAAAACTCCACCTATTCTGTCCGACTGCTCAACAAAGCCGAGGTATGTGGCAACCCTTTTTTTTTGTCCAGGGCTTTTCCGTACCCCCCCCTCCCCCTCCCGCAACCCCCCACAAATATCACCCTCTTGATGTACATCAACCCAAGATAACACACGCGCAGCACGTGACTCGCAGATGAGGACGCCTGCCCGAGGTTGGACGCGGTGACAGGAACAATCCTCCCGCTGGATTCGGCCGACAGAGCCAGCCTGCATCTAACCCGCCCGACAAGGCTCCGCCTCTGCCCCGCTCAAGCGTTTCAAAAGTCCTCTAGCCAAACTCCGAGTTATTAGTTGTTGCGAACTTTACCCCCCCCTCCCCCCCCCAAGCACTACCACCCTCAAAGAAGCCAAGTCAACAACTACGGGGGTACGTGGCACAACACCAAGAACGGCCTAGACGAAACCCCGGCCGGGTATACCGAGACCAGACGAGAAACAGACGACAAAATAATTTCTTGCTCAAAACCCTTTTCCTTGGTGGCCGAAAGAGAACAAAAAAAGAAAAACGCCCCCTACAGCGTAGTAGTACATATTCCATATTCCGAGGAAGCGCAACACATTTTCCGGAAAACGAAACTACGACAACGAAACCTGTACACCGCTGTAGATCTCGTGCGTGGACCGCCCCCGCAAAGTTGGATTTGTGATGCGCTTAGGAGAGCACGGATGTCCAAGGAGGAGTTCTTGAAACGGCTGGACGCGAGGCGCCTCCCCCCCCCCCCCCCNCCACCCGCCCCAAGACCCCAGGGGTTCAGTCCAACGCGTGCTTACCTCCGAAGAGCAAAGCGAACGCGACACACCGGCAGTTGTCTGCGACCTAGGATATCGGCAGAGCATGCACAAGTATCATCGGAGGCTGGGGATGATGGTACAACAGGAAAAAGAGCCTGCGCCAACGAGGGCAAGGTGTGTCCTTGTGTACACACCCCGTCGCGTTGATCAAAAAGCCAAAACACGCACACAAGAATCCCGACAACGACTAGGAAAAACAATTGTAAACCAACAATAGCTGTTCAGCGTAAGATGTAATGCAAGCCCCCCCAAAAAGTGGCGCTGGAGAAGCACGTGACACTTTTTTTTTGCGTCCAAAATCGGCGCGACACTTCTTCGATGAACCGAAGGAAGGGAGGACATGATGCGAAGGCGACATCCATCAAATCAAGCAAACAGACAGTAAGCTGATTGCACACCCGATGACAGGCTGTGGCCAGCAGAAAAACAATACCCCCCCC